ACCTAAGCCTGCCATTTTCAAAGCAATTATAATCCCATGTGGAGGTAGATTATAGGATTTCACTTCCTTTGTTGGCAAAAGGCCGGATTTGTAGATGTCATGTTCGCAAAACGAATGGTTCTAATTGAATTTGTGTGATATGTAATTTATGATTTTCATCACCCGGTAGTTACATTTAGGTTCTTTTTTTTTCTTTTTCTTTTCTTTTAAAAAAGACACACACAGACTGACTAAATATTCATTTACAAAAAAAAGATAACAGATAAAATTTAACAAACAAGAAAACTGAGCTTATTCAGAGGTCATACCAGAACCTTGCATATTATTGATTTAAATGTGTGTGTGTGTGTGTGTGTGTGTGTGTGTGTGTGTGTGTGTGTGTGTGTGTGTCTTGTACTGTACTACGTTGTATTTCAATGTTCACCAATGCACCAACGCTGCCAAGCAGATAAAAAAAAAATCCTTTTCATCCACTTTGCAAAAATAAGATTAAGGCATCATCCATTCAAGTGACTGTAATTACATTGAATTTTCTTTTGCCATAAATTCTCACACTAATTAGTCCCCATCGTTTAATGAGGATGCAAATAAAGCTGATTCGATGACGAGAACGCAGCCTATGCGCTCCTACCTTCCTGTGGGTAGCACGGATGGATCGGCTGTTCAAAAGCACCAAAGTGACGAGATTGCCACTGTGCGTTCCTCCGCCTGTTCGCGCCGCTAACTCCGAGCTATTGTAATGAGGAGTGTGACAACTATGGAAATGAGTTCCAAGTTTAAAAAAAAAAAAAACTGTGTGTGCGTTTGGTTCTTAAATCTGTGAAGTTAATTTCTTAGAGTTCCAAAGTGCTGCAAGAGAAATCGTATATCTTCTGAAGTAAAAAAAATAATAAAAAATCAGTTCATACTGTGTATATGTACAGCTTCCAGATGTCAGTGCTATCCTCATTTACCAATCTGGCAGCTTTCCTAAATCTGTTTCATAGTTTAGGTTTAACACCCTGTATCCTGTCTGTTTTTTATCTCCCTAGAAAACTCCATACAGCTCACTGTTACATAAAGTTAGAGTTAAGCTCTGTGGTGTTTTGACAGGATGTGTTCTCAGAGCTGGAGACATGCTGCCTAATTTAACCAACATCCCTGCTTACGGTTATGCTGTTGCCCTTACTTGACCATGTGATGCATCTTGGCTAATCAAAGTAATTACGTGGAGGGGTTTTTATTTTCCACCTCAAAGAAAACTTCTACAGCGACAGAGCATTATGCCACATTGAACAATGAGCTCATTAAAATGCATTCCAATCATCTGGGATTAGACTTTACAGTCCATTTCAGATCAATGGATAAAAACATAACAGCAGCACCACTGCATTATTTATCAGCCTTTTCAGTTAGATCATAGCCCCCTTTTGTGTTTTTACATGTAACATGTTTCACGTCCATGAAAAAAATAAAATAAATAAACTTTTTTTTTTTAAATCAGTGCATTTACAGCTGACACTCACAGTTGATTTCATATTCCAATTGTTTTTTTCTCTGACGAACACCAGATAACGTAATTAGTACAAGTGCAGTTCTGTAACAATGCAGATACACCGCAACGCTGCGGCTGACGAGGAATTTGGAGAATAAAACCGGATCCTGTCAGGGTGTGACAGCCTAGTTAGTTTTACAGCTGCACCTGCTCTATTAGATCCAAGTCTCTCTTAAATAATAATAAATAATAAAACAAAGCAGCGGCTAAGGTGCTGTTATATCAAGACTGCTCCTCTTGGTATTGATATATTATAAACTGTACGCTGACTTCATGCATGCAGCAAGGGTAAATAGGTAGAGCACCTGCTAAGTATAACTTAATGACAAAACTCTTATCAGACAACACATTAGGGAGCGTGTTTCATTTTATCATTAGGAGGCACAAATTCTCCATTAACTTCTGCCAGCAAATGCACTGACAATGTAAATGCAAATTGGTTACACTGAAAACCAGTACTATTTATCAAGAGTGGCCTGGTTTGTGCAGCAGCACTCTTGGCAGTGAGAACTTGTGCTCACTGTGCTGGCAGGTGGGGAGAGTGCATAGCCAGGCTTGTGTGTGTCATGTCACATTCAGCTCATCTGTCAATGTAGTGGATTATTTCTTGAGAGACCAGAATTGGCTTCCCAGAATCAGGGCACCATCAATCTTCAGCCGCACGAGCAGGACACGCGGGAGGCTGTGTGAAGCGGAGGCTCGCGGGAGAGAGTGCGGCGCCGCGCTTCCCGAGCAGGTGACGAAGCAGTCGGGCAACTCGTTACTCAATCGCAGCATCAGCCGTGTCTATGGCGATTTGTCACTGAAACGTTTGGAGAAATAAATAAACAAACAAGTGCAATGTGAAATCTTCGCCCAATCTGTGGTGCCTTATTTTAACGTGTGCTGTGAGTTACTGTTGCAGGAGGCAGAGAAGCTGATCTCTCAAAAACTGTTAGCTGCTTCAACAGGCTGGAAGATAACATGACCTTCACTTCCCCTCCTCATATATATACCCACACAGCCCCTTCGCTGTGGGTTTTTTGTTTGTTAGCTTTTGTACCACTCAGTTTCTCAGGCAGTCTGCCAAGCTGCATTCACAGAGCCACACAAAGTAATTTCAGGGCATGTTTTCTTTAAAGGTACCAACCTCCAATTTCAGCATCATCATCTCAATGAAATGTATCTTTTAAAAATTGTGACTTAATAGCAAACATAAAGCATGTTAGTCTAATGTAACATTATACTTCTGTTCACAAAATATGTTTCAGTGCTTCATGAGGAAAGCTCTACTGAAACTTAACTTGCAGTAGGACCATGCAGCACATGATATCATTCTTTAGAAACACAGAAACATCCGCTTATGGAAAACAGCAGAGCGTGAAAGCCAATGGATTTTTCAAGGCAAGACATCTCTTTCTTGCCACGTCCTACATAGCCATATCTATTTATATCTGAGGGTTCTGGCCTCAATGAAACCAGAGAGCTTCTCAAATTATAAAATCAATTCTAATTCAAATATTCATCATAGCATTTCAATTCTGAGAGAGGAGTTCTGGTTAGATCGGTTAACGCCACTTCACGGATGAGTAAGATTGATGTCAGCTTAATCCTCTAAAAAAAAACCCCCAAAAAACATGATATACAGTAAATTGTCCAGTCAGACAACAGCAGCTGGAGGGGATGCATTCTGTGAGCAGTCAGATGTGATAGAACAATGCCTGCTGGGAAGTCTGCTGATTAGGACTGTAAAACTTCATAATACACTGGCAGACTAAGATTATAAGTGCATTGTTCTGCACTTGTCTATTTGTCTCTGTTTGTTAAGTTTTAAAGTTTTCTAGAAATTACTCATTGCACCCGTCTCAGTGAGAATCCCAGAGATGTTATTCAAAATTGAGTGGCCCAACCAGAAACACCCCAGTAACATGAATTAAATCTGGGTCAATCACCCATCTCTGTGTTTGAAACTTGCTACTGAAATGCACCCTAAACACAGCTCCAGTATCCCCACAGCACCCATGAGGAAAGGCCACAGCATAATGGCCTTAAAGACGAGACTTCATTTACATCCCTGTACCCTCCTCGGTGCAGTAAATGCATGAGTTGATCTGTCTGACAGGAAAAACCCTTCCCTATCACCATCTTGTGGTTGGATGCCTCTTCTAAATGTACAAGGAAGGGTGTGGAGGCCAACCACTACTCCCCCCCCCCCCCCCAGCCCCTTTGGGATCACTGCATTATTCAAAAAAGGCATTTACTGAGCCATGCACTTCCTTGTACATCTTTGGCACCAAGCTTGACTTGTCAACCAGTCAAACCCAAAAAAAAGGGAGGAGGAGGAGAAAGGAAAGGGGGGTAAAAAAAAAAGAAAATGAAGGCAGCCTTTAAAAAATTCATTCTGAGCTCTCTATTGCTCATCCCTTACTGTCTTGTTCCAATTAACGGGGCTGGGATACTTTGAGAACTTTCTATCTATCATAGCTGGGATTTTCATGTGTCAGCTGTTCCACAGAAAAAAGTACGCCAGCTCTCTGACATGCTGCTTAAAGCCACCAATGTTCAACACAAGCATAGAGAATTCAATGCTGGATTTTTTTTTCCACTTGCTGTGCTTCAATTACTGTCTTTTTGCCTGGCAATGCAACACACACAAAAGGGAACCAAGCAGAAGATAGCATCAATGTTTAACAGCCGCTTGGCATCCACAGAAAGCTCCGCTCCACACAAGAGTTCAGCACAGAAGTCGCACTTATTGTTAGAAGCTTAAGGAAAGCACTTGCTTTGCTCTAAAAACCTTCGCCTCCAGTGTAACAGTTCTACATGCACTATAAGCGATTCTGGTAAGCTTCTCCGTAATCAGTGAATTAGAGCCACCTCTGTGTCTACCTCCCCTTTTGCCCTTACAGTGCAGCAAGGCGTCGGGCTTAATTGCCAAATGTTTCCAGTGCAAAAGAGGGGAACATAATTGTCATTTCTATCTAAGCCGCAGTGATCAAAGCTCCCCTGGCTACCAGCACAGTAATGGGGATTTCTCTCTACAGCTTGGCCTATTCGTAACAGTGTGCCAGCAAGATTCACGCTGCAGTAGTCAAGAATTCCACATCGCGACTGTGAATCATCGTTCCACTAGCTAACTCGGAGTGCTGAAAGGATGTCGTCCTCGTTGAGGTCTACACACAGAGATGGGGCGTAGCAGCCATATTTCTCCAATAGGTTGCAAAAAATGTATATGGGTAGGTTTGATTAAATTAACCTAGGGTAATGCATGATTAGAGGTAGCTGTCTTTGCTTATCTTGTATGACTGCGAGCACAGTGAATCATCTTGTACAGTACCGTGGCAAATCATCCTGACATACTGCAGCAGTGTCTCGCTGTTGCCTTTTAAACAGCCAAAGCTGACAACTGCTGCCCCATGGAGAGGGCACCATGTTTCACTGTAACAGGGTGCTATGAAGCTGAAATCTGACAAAGAGGGACACGTACCCAGGGTGAGAATGTCAGTGCGACCAGGCCGGGCCACATGGTGCTGTTGGATGGTCTGGTAGAGAGTTGCCTGGCACAGCAGCAGGAAGCCGAGGCTAATCCACATGGCCAACAACCAGGACATGGTAAGGCCGAGTCTGCAGGATGGCACGCCGCGGGGGAGAAACAACAGGGGGACAGGGGCAGAGTTGTATTACAGCATGTCTCCATATATATTTACAACACACACTGTGTTTATTTCATGTGCCAAAAAGACAAACAATGCTGACATCAACCACACACATCAAGACCACCGCGTCGAATACTGTCACCTGTTCTTTTTTTTTTTTTCAAAGTAACACAGCTAATGGGAAGAAAAAGACGACAAAGGGGCTTTGAGGGAAATCCCAGCGGTCAAACACAAACTTTAACATGCTAATATCACACCACAAAAAGGAGAGCAAAGAAACACGGGGGAAAAAAACACCCTGCCTCCAATTTTTTTTAGACTGTAAGAATGATTCACCCCTTTTTAGGAAAACCAGAGTTATTAAAAACAACAGCAAGACTGTGTTTCTAAGCACAGGCAGCCTTCTTGCAGATTTGTGCAGCGACTGCCTAATGGCTGGTGAGGGCCAGCATATGGAGACACGCCTTAGCCCTTATTGAATAATGAGGCTCTCCTCCTTTCCAGGTGTTATTAGAGCCTCTCTCCACAGCATACCCCCCCACCCCCAACCAAGAAATGTGTCTTAGTGTGTTTAGAATTAGTACATATAAGGCTGAGGAGCTCATTTAGTATATTCAGCCAAATGACAAATCACATGTTCTGAAGTGATGTCATGACTCTAATGTAACTATGAATTTAGTAGTGTTTGATTCTACCTGTCCTTTTACACTCTTTACCAACACTAAACCTGCCAATAAAGGAAAATCTAAATGCTCCAGTTTTCCAAATTAAGTGCCAATGATCTGTTCTGATCTAATAATACACTTTCAGAACCCCCCACCCCCTCCTGGTTTGATGTACATCTGAGATTAAAGCCATTAAGGTATTAAATGTTACCCATGTGTTCTTTACCCTCAGTGACATTGAGGCTGCTTAATATTCAGCGAAAATTAAGCATATAATTATTAACAGCACATTGTAAATCCCCACCCCTGCACTAAATCCATCATAATCCGGTTTTGTGGAAATATGAACGGGTCCTGTGGGTTTATTTTCCTTAAAAAAGAAAAAAGAAAAAGAAAAAAAAACATTAAAAAAAAACTATCGTGTTCTTCTTATCGGGCTGCATTTATTATATATTCAAACAAAAAATTGCGCTTGTGTGCTTTGCTGTTTATTGCACAGACTTGGAGGGTGCACGTTCTGACCAAAAAAATAAAAACATCACCTGATGTGAACACACACAGTTTATCATCGAAAGGAGGAGGAGTATTAGTATCATTTTAAAGGAACTTAAGAAATAAAAACACACACAACCAGCTTTGAGGAAAAGCAGACAGGAAAACTCACGTGCATCTCGTTTTCCTTGCGGGAAACAAAAGAATTCACAAGAGCCGGTTTGGCTCTCACAGTTTTATCGCCTTAAAAGAGAGGCAGCCGCTCAACTGTGCGTAACAGGTAAGTCTAGCGTGAGATTTTAAATGCGGTTCGGAGCAGAAGCAGCAGACACACCTGCGGGCGCATAACCTCCTGATGCACCTGCGTGCAGCGTGGATTTAACAAAGTAAGGCGGTTTTATGAGCCCGCTCGTCTTAATGCTGCGGAGACAAGTTTAAGCAGTGACTCCCTAACACATAGACCTGTCTACCTGATTGCAATACACCGGGAGGAAATCACTCACCCTTGTCCGCTGGCTTGTAAATAGCCCACATCTTTCCAAGAACTATATTTGTTTAGTGCTTAGCCTGCTACTCCTGTACTGTTTATCTGGGGAGGTCACCTACCGCTATGTGGAACTATTCATTCTAATTCTAAACATAGGTGGAAACTTAGCATCTTGGTTCAAATGTATTCTTGAGGCTAGAAAAGCTTTTCTACTTGGACTCCAGCATATCTTTACATAAACCAGATGCATTTTTCAGCAGGCAGTATACTGTGGGGAATTAAATCAACAGCCCTCCTACCCCATCCCCAAACACCAAAGGTGCTCCATTCAAGCCCCCCACGCCCTTACCTGAGCGCTGCGTTCAGAAGCAAAGGAGTTCAGTCAGAATCACTGCCTGCCCAGCAGACTCACTCCTCAGTCTTAAATCCATCCATACTTGGGAGCCAGGGTTTTCAGCCTGAAATTCCACTAACAGATAAGCCAAACACTGCACAAAAGGGAGCTAAAAAGGCTGTTCTTTCCTTTCTATATATCCGTTTGGACCCCTGCTGCTCAGGTTCTTTTTGAAATCCTTTGGCAACACAAACAGTCACCAAAAGCAAAACACCCAGGGGTCTTTGTTACAAACTGGCCAGGATTTGAGGGATGGAAGGCTGATCATGTCACTGCTGTCTCAGCCACATTCGTGAAGATGTGCTCTCCTTCCTTCAGTGTCTCTTCTCCGTCAGTAAAACTCCTATGTTCTGTTGACAGGGAGCTAATTTACCCTCCTCACTTGTCGTCTCCTTCTCACGCGTGCAGCGGAAGGCTCCAGTGGAATGACTGCTCTGTCTGCTCTTGGCTGCATCCCCCCATTGAGAAGCAGTGCTGATAGTGTGAGCTTCAGTCCTCTCTCTCCAGCGCTCTAAGTAGAGAGTCTGTGTCAGACAGGCAGAGCGAATGTGAGTGAGTGTGCATGTGTGTGTGTATTACAATGTAGCCCAGCTGGAAAGCAAGGGAGAGAGCGAGAGAGCGAGAGAGAGCTGAGAGAGTCAGATCACACGTCTTAAAGCAAGACTACCCACTTCTGCATCAAGACTTCATCGGCAAATGAGGCATGCTTTATTAACCCACCTCTCTTTACGTCCCGGCTTCCCATCCAGAGCACTGGGAGACGTGCGAGTGTAGCCTTCAGCTCACTTTGAATCTGTTTGCGTCCACGTGCACGCCTGCGAGTGTGAGTTGGAGAGAGGGAGTGTGCGTCTGTTTTAGTCATCGCCCTCCAGCAAATTATCAGTCAAAGTGAAATGCTCCGAGCACAGCACTTTTAATAGAAGGCAGGGTGCCTCATCTCAGCTCTGCAATCACCATATTACATGTTGTGAGCTGGCTTTGCTCTTCCTCTAGTTTCCCGGTGATCAGCGAGGATTTGTTTTTTCCTTCTTTTAAACCACGAACCCTTCAGAAAACATCTTGCCACCCCTGAAACGAATTGAATGGGAAAGAGCCATGACAATAAATCTATTCCCTTTAAAGGAAACCCATCTCTTCTCTTCTTCTTCTTTTTTTGTATGCGTGTGAGTTGGTGTGGGTCACGTGTGACACGTGTGTTTGTATGGAGTGTGTGGAGTACCATTTCCTCCAATATACTGAATTTTCCTCTACAAGCATGAGTTCTTCTTTAATTCATCCTAATGTTAACCAGAGATTTACTGTATATGCCACTCCCACACACCTGCCATGACTGACTCACTCATAGTGTGATATTTCAAGTGAACCGTATGCTGCACACAAGAATACTCAGAGGGGCTAAATAAACTTGCAGACAGTGAAGAGAGTGTTGTTACTGCGGAGGAGTAATACAGATGAACTTGATGATGACTATCTGGATAATTCTCAGATCCGTGTTCCTACACTTTGCGTTCTGTGATGTGCGAGCACAGTGAAACAATCTATTTCTCTGTATGAGAGCTTTGTTGCTAAAAAAAAAAAATCAGCTTTCTGATTGGCTGTGATTTTTGGGCTATCTTTTTTTTTTTTGTTTCAGCTGCTGGTCAGGGTGCCATGATTCGGGGCATCCTGGACTTATTTGCGCTGCTGTGTTATCACCTCTGCTTGTTCTTTACACGCCATAGTGGGATGTGACAGCCAGATGCACACAGCCCCACAGAGTTAAAATCTGCAGGAAAAGGGCTGAAGTCAAAAAACACACAGTGTGACAAAATGCCACATGGGGATATTATTCCTGCAGTGCAAAGTGCGGAGCAAGTGGGTAAAAAGCTGTTAAAATTACTCGTCTTAAGACTGAAAAATGTCGTGGATGCAGTTCAAGCCATGTGTTGCTGTTGTTTTTTCATAGTTCTGTAATAATCTATTGGGAAGACAGTTATGAATAGTGGCGCTGCCATCTGGATCTCTGTTGGGTAAAGCACACCACATGTTAAGTGACCAGATTCGCATTAGGCAGAAACTGCAGCGTAATTACCACAATGATTAGTGCGTCTACATTGTAAACGCGTATTTGCACAAAGTGGCTTGATTACTAATAAACAGGCTCATTTGTACATCTTTGTATTAGCTTATTTTTTTGCATGCGTGTAAGAATTATTAATAGTACCCATGCTTGGATTTCATTTTGTCCTCAGCACTTAATGCTTTTATGATCTGTCCCATTGGACTAAGATGAAGGCGTGAAATGAAAGTCCTACAAACAAGCCTCAGTGGAGAACTTAGGACTGAAGGCATCCAGTTATTATGGGTTTCTTTTCGGCGTTGTGTAACACAAGTCTCCCATTTATAGCTTTATTTCTCTGTCGTTGTTATTTTGTCGCTGCCTCCTGTTTTTCATTCTGTGTCAGTCTGAGCTGTGCTGGAAGAATGGACCAGGACAACAGAATTTCACAGTAATTCTGGATTGTTGTCGCAGTCTCATTCCTTCCTGTCTCCCTTCTCAGGGGTTTCCATCATTTCCAAACAGCTGTCGCCGCAGCCCATGCCAAGACCTAACCACAACCGACCAGTCGCTGGCCAACTCTGTGTTTGGATCTGGGCAGACCTGTTAAACACCAGCGTTTGCCAGTATTCCTCTCTCAGTCCTCTTCTTTTTCATTCTGTCATTCTCTTTTTTCTCCCCCGCCTTTATGTTTTCCCTCTAGCTAATAAAATTCTTCCTTTCAGATCAGCCAACAAGCTTCAATATGCACCCGCTAGCTGTACCAAAATGCCAATTTAAGCCCCCACCACCACCCCAGAAGCTTTCTGCTTTTCTTTATTAAATGAGCTTTGTGCTTTTCATCATTTCAGACTAGGAAAACAAAGAATTTCTTCATCTGATGTGAAAAGTTGTCGTGTTAGTAAACCTTTTCTCCAGAGTTATCGTAGAGTGACAGAGAGAGTCAGAGGAAAGAAGGGAAATAAAAGAACAGGGGGGAAAAAGAAGGAGATTAAGGCAAACGGGAAAATTCATTTGGAGGAACTGTGCCGCAGCACTCTTGCTCACTGATGGATGGTAATGGGAAGAACATGATTAATGAAATAAAGAAACCTGATATATAGTAATAATTTATTTCACATTTATCAGAGCATCTTTTGTGTGCACTTCCTCACATGGGTACCTTACTGTAACAGCAAAGTGTAAAATGTAAGGTTAGTGGATATACAGTTTTCCAAACATAAGCCTTTGAAGCATTAGGTTTATCCTGTTTCTCATGTGTCAGCAGAACCGGTGAGAGTAAACACTAAAATGTCAGCATGAACTCCGAAAGGAAGAGAAATACTGGTTCTCACAAGCAAATTATTTCGTATCTACAAAGATGAATGTTTTGGGTTTTTTCTTGTTATGGCCCTAATTATATTCTCATTTTCACTACTAGACAAAATCAAGTCAGTTAGACACATTTGAATCCTGTAAAACTGAGCTATTTTTATTGATTGTCTGCTCCTGTTCAGTAGCAAATGCATACAACTGTATGTTGTTAGGAGGCGGTTATATAAACAGCAGATTATAATAACACATGTGATTCTGGAGTAAATTACCATCATCTATCCAATTCATTTCTATTTTAAGCTGTGTTTGCCTAAGCCACTTATTATGGCCTGTTTGCTTGTTGGGGCTCTTTTGAGTCACCAGCTTTGATTTGACCTTATACAAGTTTTCAGTGGAAGGGTTGTAATTTTCCATCACCTAAAGGCGATAGGTCAGCTGAGGATCAAGACCAGTTTTTGCAGTCTTCACGGTTTGAGACTGTCAGCCTGGAGTTCCTGACGTGCTGATAGCTAGCATGCCATCATTTGCAGGCAAGCGACACAGTGCAGTAATATTTCTTTTTTTTCTTTCTTCTAAAATGAAAATCAAATTGAAGAAATGGCATTTTGAGTGTAGATCCAGCATGCAGAGACATAATTACAGGAGTAATCAATGAGACTTCCATTGAGTGATCTTAAGGTAGCAGCCACACTGAAAGTTTCTGGACATGCCCAGATGGGCAGATTAGACTAATTCAAGGTTTAGGGTTAAGACCTGTAATTTTTATTGGCCTGGTTCTGGAATATTTTCATCATGGCTTCTAACTGGCATGCACAAGTTAGTATTCAACATTTCCTTAATAAGATGGATCTTGACTCATTGGCCACACTGTATTTGTTACAGTACCAAACATTTTGTCTACTACTGAGCTTTCAGTCCATTCTTCTGACATCACTCCATCCCTATATTTGTCAAATTTCCTTTTATAGCCGGGCATTTTTAATATTATCCTCCCAAGGCACACTGAGCTACAATATGAACCCCACTTTTGAGGCTTGTGAAAGCAGGACACCAGACCTCACTGATGCTGATGAAAAGGTGCCAGGGAACTTGCCCAGCTACTTGCCTTTGTTAACAGTTGAAGGGAAATGCTCTGGCACATCACTCAGATGTGGCACCGATACCACCCCGTGCTCCACCCTGTGCTCTCAGCCACTGTAACACTGTAACTTCAGTGCCTCAGTTTATGATGTACGAAGTTGCTTTGCAGTACACCCACTTGGTGGTCCATGTCAAAACTTTAAAAACTGATCAGAATGCATCAAACATGATCTCATTTGGATTCTGTGCTGTTTAGCTAAAGATCTAATGCTGATGAAGGGTCTAAATTATTTCTACTTGACTTTGAGACTTTAAAGGAGTGTCAAACATTCCTGTCAACTGATCGATCACCTATCTCTGTAAAACTGACACTGAGCTTTGGATTTGTTTATGTCTCTGCCCCAGATCTTCTACAGTTTTGTATTGGTGTGCTGCTCCTTGGCTAAATAATCCATAGTCAGTTGCCCTTACGCTGGCACTGCAATCATTTATCTCTGATCACCAATTAGTTTCATGCCTTGTAAGGTTTTCTAAAATTTTGGTTATCCAGCTCCCTCCTTACATTGAGTTGTTTTCTATATCCACATCTCCCCACACACACGGAGACACACATATATATGATTATGTATCATGTCCTGATGTTTGGGAATTCTCATGGCTGTCACTCTGTATTTGTGACTAACAGCATGTAGTAAGCTGTGACAAAGCAGGCTTTTACATCAAAGGTAATGGCATTGGTAAAAAAAAAAAGAAAGAAAAAAGAAAGAAAGAAGGAAAGAAAAAAAATCACTCATAAAAATAATACGTTTATAATTAAGGCTTATTCATCACCATTTTTTACATAGGTATTCTGTTGTATAATGCTGATAACATCAGACAACATAATCGAATGATCTCCATAAATGCTACACATATCTACACACTTAAAGTTAAATTCCTTTTTAAAGAATCTCTGTTAGTGCTGCTATAGTCAAACTCCTGGGGAATATTACTCCCCACATATTTAATCATATACTACAGGTAGAAGTGAAAATAATTTGTGGGATTTTTTGTGTTTTGAAGTAGGTCAGAAAATCTGGGCTGGTAATGTACTGGGACTCACCAAGTCTCAGCAGGGCATAGTTTCCTTCTCTTGCCGTTTCAGGCTGGAG